TTAGGAAATATTTTATCCTAAGGCTCTCATCATTAGCTATCTCCCCCACCTCAATCAGGTAGCGAGCCACATGTTCGACAGTGGATTCCGTGGTATTCCCGGAGAACTTAGTAAGCTTGGGCACTTTTGTCCTAGGGGGTAACTCCGCCTGAAGGATATAATCTACTATAAGGGAAGTGTAGTTTGGCCTGGTGAACCCAGTGTTCAAACCATTTTTGTCCATAATTCTTTCGACCATGGCTGCTAGATTGTTATCGACGGCCATGTTATTACGTCGAACCTGTTGGACGACGTTGTCTGCATCCTGGTTTCGATTCACGATCACTACTCCTGGGTCCCTTTCTCCTCGGACACAGGCCCAATCTCGTAACAGTTCTTCCCTAAGCGGTTCGATTACGGGAGGGTCCATCTTTCCTTGGTTCCCTACATCGACTTCTACTGCATTTCCCAAGTTTTCTCGTGGGATGTTCGCCATTGGGGTCTGATTTCTGGCCAGAGGAGGTACTCCCATGAATTCGGCCAATCTTTCCAGTTGTACTGCTAATTGCTGATTTGTCTGGGTCGTATTTTGGATTAATGGTTGAAAGATTTCGCCCATGGTTAGTGATAAGGTTTGGACCATTTGCAAATTGATTTCGTCCATTTGCTGCCTTAAACAGACAACTGAGGTATTGGTTAAGTTAGGACCTTGCGTCGAATATCCTAGACTCTGATTTTGGGGATTTCAACCCATGTTCACGCCAGATTCTGACCCTTGTAATGGCAAAGCCATTGTATGGTCTGAGAATACGGGGGGCACATTTTGGAGCCCTTGCATTATAGTCGTGGGCATCCCATACTGAGGGTTCCTTGGTAACTGTGAAAACCCCCGGGGGGGGGGGGGCTGACTGTCTAGATGCCGAATTTCCCCCTAATGGAGTTTGCGGGTTCAACGTTTGAGGCCCAATGTATTCTAACACTAGTTGACTGTACGACCTTATTACAGTCGACCCAGTTCCTAGTATTGAAGGTGTTGGTACTGGCCTTACAGGAAGTACTGTTTGTTCTCCTGTCGACGGTATCGAAGGGGGTACTACATCGTTTCTCATTCCTTCACTAGAACCATCTCCTTGAAGGTTGAGATTATTTGGCTGGTTCGCATCTGTTGCCATATCCCCAATATTTCGTCTCGTTAATCTTTCTTCATTTACAGCTGTAATTTTACCACTTCTTAGTAACATAAACGTACTGTGCACGCAAGATCAATGAAACTGTAATTTCTTAAGTTAGAATTTACACTAACAACATTTTCTCTAGCACATCTCCCACTGGGCGTGCCATTTTGTTTCCCTTGAAAATCGGAAAACAATCGCTGATCTTCCAAATCTAACTTTGGTGACTCACAGGATCGATCAGATTGATCCTAGGACACGTGCTAAAGGGTTATTCTTGGTAATTCTCTCTAAGTTTCACACTTTGGCAATATTGCGGTAAAAGGTTCTAAAAGAAATACCTATTCGACTAAAAGAAAGAGATAAAAGGTAAAGTTTTCAGCAAAGAAAGGGGAGAAGTTTGTTTGGAGAAGAAAGGTTGAGGACGAAGGGTAAGTAATTGCATAGAAAAGGAGGAAGGCTGCAAGGAAAGTAAAAGACTTTGTAAGGTTTAAAGCAAGTAAAGTAAATTTCATTAAAATAAAAGATGGTATGTTTACATCATGTACATTCTTTGTAATACTCTCTTTCTCTACACTCAGATACTTGGAGTAATTCTAAGAGTGACTTGTACAATAGTAAATTACAACACCCTAATTCTATGCCTAAGACTCCCTATTTATAAAAGTAAAAAAATAATTACCAATAACTTCCTACTTCATAATCCTTCGCCACTTGTCATGATGCATGGATCTGTTACTTGTAGGACGCCACATGTCCTTTTGGCAAAATAACCACTTCTTCTGTATGTTTGAATTTCAAATCTTTAGGACAAATGCTCATAACGGTCGAATCCTTCATGTTTTCCTGCCAACATAACTGCTTCAACCTCCCTTGCGGTTTTCACCCTCTTCGATCGGTTTTCTTCTTCGTTAAAAACTCTTTTAAAGCTATCTCTTTTAAATGTCCGGACTTGTAAGAGGTGTCGAATATTAGGGACTAACACTAAGTCAGAGAAGCATTTTGAAGGAACAAAGACTCTAATTTCCTATGTGCGGATAACAAATATCCCTGAGCAGAGATTAGAGCCTAGTACTTCCTTACCACCATCCTCACCAGATAGGTCGCTTGGTCAGCAAGAGATCCAGCAAGGTTAAAAAGGATCAAAGTATCCCTCACTTTGGTAATAGAGGTAGAAGTCTTCTCTATTTTCTGTAGGTATTTATCTCGTTGAAGCTTATAATTGTGAATTCTCTCCTTCAATTGTTGCTTCAAAATCCTCCTAACGATAAGCTCCCCTAGAGCCAAAGCAGCAGAAACACAATGAGTATTCTGAGTCAGAGTAACCAATTCTTCCTCCCGGGAAGACCCCGATAAGCGATATCCTCTTCCAAGGGAGGCTACTGGCGATCTATAGAGAAACATGAACTCGGCCCATCAACAATTGACGAGCAGGAAAAACCAACATATTTGGAAGCATCAGGAGCGTATTAAAAGAAAAATCACTCCTTGTCGTCCATATCACTCGCTTTAAATGGTAGATATTTACCTCATTTTTCATATGGTTTGCACATAGTCATAATCAGTTTCAGAACGAATACATCGTAAACAAACATGGTAAAGATAGACAAGCCAATAGTTTTTTGATCTTACCAAAGACGACCTTTCTTTCTCTTCAGGAATGGGCCTCCATCAACAATTGAATATCAATGAGACATTACAAGCGTTTTCGATTGACCTCATTCATGGGAGTACCTCCTATAAGGTAACCTAACTTGATGATGAAGTTCACCAGCCATTTCTTTTAATACAAAGCTTCGGCAGAAAGGTCCTCATCTTTTTACACATATATATTGGCCCCATAAGAAAGTGACTCTCAGTCCAATACTTATGAAATAGCTCAACACATCATCCTTTCACTCTGCCCTTAACGATGCAAACTATGGCACACATTTTGGGGCATGTGGGGTAACAAAAAAAAAAACGGATCTTCAAAATATTGTAACAAGAAGCCCAAAACCATGCATAGTCGGATCCATAGAAATTAACCCTCTATTATGCCCCTGAGTCACATGACTACGATTGCATTTAAGGAGATGAAATAAAATGGTCACATAAGGCTTTCCTTTCAAGTACTCACACTAATACGGTTAAACCTTCACATACGCCCAACTTGCAGGATGAAGTTGCAAAAAGGATATCATTAGATACTTTAAGACTTTTATCAAAAAGGTAGTGAAGGGTAAGCAAAGATCCATGACGGATAAAGTGCACTAATAAAAGGGAATTATGCAATCACCATACTTTCCGTATATTCTTTCATCCTCGACGGACTCAAGACTCCTCAGTAGGATGATGGACCGACTTCTGTAAAGGCATCATCAAGATCGTACGCTTTAGCGAAAACAAAAATGGTGGAAGAATAAACTGAATTCACCCAAGAATATATAGCATTCTTATGGGGTTTGTGAGCTCTCTTCTTTGATTTTTTAACCCACATCACACTAACTTTTCAAATGAAGGAAAGTGAAATGCTAAAGAAAAGAGATAACGCTAAACTAAGGAAATGAGTAAAAAAGAATACAACATCAAATATTTAAGGACTATATTCTAACATGCAAAAGGAAATATACTCTATCAAACACATCAAATCACTCGCACACAAGACTTAAGGTTTTAGATTCCCAAGATTTGCACACTTCCGAAAAGAAGTTTGAAATATGAAGCTTAAATGCACGAATCGTCAAGGGACTTAAACATTTTCTTTTTCTCTTCCAAACATAATGAAACGGGGGATCGACAACTAAAGTCGGAGTAATAAATCCATGCCTTGCTGAGCACAAACACGAGCTTAGAGGACAACTATTTTGGGCCAACCATATCAACCTCGTCCGACCATTTTGATGGACTTGTACTGCTTCCAAAATCTCCTTAGCATGAACACTTTCCTCAAGGCACTAACAAAGATCTCAATTGCAAATGCATTCAACGACTCTCCATAATTTACTCATAACTATTATCGAGTTTATTATTTTCTCTCTATTATGTATAAAAATGACACAAAATTCAGGTGATAAATTTCAAACATAATTTCAATTCACTATTTTGCAGGTCCCCCACTCCACCGCGCCGGAAGCTCAGATCTACCAACACTTTCAAATTCAAAATCAAATATATATATAACCAACAAATACATCAATTTTGTGACTATATTGAAATATACTTTTTGGAAGATAATTATATTTTTTAGGCTTAAATGCATTTTTTGTTTCCATACTTTGATGATTTTTAATTTTTATTCATTCCATTTTAAAAATTAATTTTTTGATTCTTGAACTTTACATCACTTGGGATTTAATAGGTTTCATCTTCAATTTTGCTGACGTAATAGTGATGATCAGAAAAAAAAAAGTATTTTTAATGAGTCAGCAATATTGACTAGAATAATTAATTTAATATTTTTTTAATTAATAAATTAATTATTAGTATTATTCATTAAGTATTTTTAATCAATTAATCAAAAAATTTAAATAAAATACTTTGTGCCCACCTTTTGACCCGTATTCATGCATTGCCTTTTCAATCTAATAATCATCTACCATATAAGAACATTAGATGTTTCAGAATTTACGTCTATGCCCTTCTGGCTTCACAAGCTTCAAGCTTCCACGTGGATGTGTTAACTAATCGCACCCGCATGGGCATATCTTACATTCACATCAACCTTACTTCCAAAGCTCACTCGCTCATGTGAATCTACCGTGTTGTAGTTCTTCTTCCTTCATCATTTGAAAACTCGCCAACACAACAATGTCCTCTTAACAAACTTCATCACTTCCACCATTCAATCTAATACATATCACAATCACAATGCCACTACTGATGCGAAGGCCACTACTACATTACTCCGCCATCTTCAGATATGGCGTAGCTCTCAGGCACAAAACCTTCGCTCTTCCATTTTTACACCAACGAAGTTTCACTTATGTTTCCAGTGATGAGTCCGACCTTGAATCCGACTCTTCTCACTCTCAATCGCAACCGGTCAATCGTCCGCTGAGAGGAGTATGCATTGATTTACATCAAAGCTTTTCTTTTTTTGTTATTTGAATACTTATATTAGTGTCAATTTTTATGGTGAATTAGTGTCAATTTTTATGGTGAATTAGTGTCAATTTTTCTTATGCAGTGCTTAGAAAAGGCCCAGAATTTGGATGAATCGCTTCTTCACTTCAACGAGCTAGACCCATCTTTGAAAAGTACGCGAATTTGTAAAGAGTTATTGATGAGTTTGCTCAAATCGGGTCGTACTGATGATGCCCGCCACGTGCTCGATCAAATGCTTGAACCGGATTCTGTGTTTCCTCCTGATCATTTCGTTGATGAAGTTGTTTTTGGTGAGTTGGTGAAGAGGGACCGCCCTGGAAAAGGCTTTGCTGATGAGGAAATTGTGGGGTTGGTTACTAAGCTTGGTGAGCGTGGAGTTTTCCCGGATACGTTTAAGCTTACTCAGATGATATCCAAGCTGTGTGGGAAATGGAAGAACTCTGCTGCATGGGAACTTTTGCATGCTGTGATGAAATTAGGTGGTACAGTTGAAGTTGCATCTTGCAATGCCTTGTTATCGGGGCTTGGAAGGGAAAGAGATATTCCGAAGATGAATAGACTGTTGGCAGAGATGGAAGAAAGGAAAATAAATCCTAGTGTCATAACCTATGGGATTCTTATTAATCATTTGTGCAAGAGTAGGAGGATTGATGAGGCACTGCAGGTGTTTGATAAATTGAGATGTAAAGGAGGAAAGAATCGGATTGGTGTCGAACCTGATGTGGTCTTGTATAATAATCTGATTAATGGACTTTGTAAAGTTGGGAGGGAAGAAGACGATTTGAGTTTGTTGGAAGAGATGAAAACTGAGAAGAAAAATATGCCAAATACTGTTACATATAATTGCTTGATTGATGGGTTCTGCAAAGCTGGCAACATTGATAAAGCATGCCAGCTATTCAATCTGATGAATGAGGAACAAGTACAGCCATATGTGGTCACCCTCAATACATTGGTTGACGGTATGTGCAAAGTCCGAAGAGTCTATAGTGCAGTTGAGTTTTTCAACGAGATGAAAGGCAAGGGCCTGAAAGGAAATGCTGTTACTTACACTGCGCTGATATCTGCCTTCTGTAGTGTGAATAATATTGATAAAGCTATGCAATATTTTGATGAGATGTTGAGTTCTGGATGCTCACCGGATGCAATTGTTTACTATAGTTTGATATCTGGTTTAACCATTGCTGGAAGGATGGATGATGCCAGTGTTGTTGTGTCACAGTTGAAACGGGCCGGGTTTCGTCTTGATAGAGCTTGTTACAATGTTCTGATAAGTGGATTCTGCAAAAAGAAGAAACTGGAATGAGTTTATGAAATGCTCAACAAAATGGAAGAAACTGGAGTTAAGCCCGATACCGTCACCTATAACACTTTGGTTTCTTACCTTGGCAAAGCTGGAGATTTCGCAACTGCGTCTAAGATGATGAAAAAGTTGATTAAAGAAGGTTTTAAGCCCTCTATTGTCACATATGGGGCAGTTATACATGCATATTGTTTAAAGAAGAATATTGATGAGGCCATGAAGATTTTTGAGGAAATGTGTTATGTATCAACGGTTCCTCCTAACATTGTGATATACAACATTTTAATAGACGCTCTTTGCAAAAATAACGACGTTGAAAAAGCTGTTTCTTTGATGAATGACATGAAAGTAAAGGGGGTTCGGCCTAATACAACCACATATAATGCTATTCTGAAGGGGGTTCGGGATAAGAGAATGCTGCCCGAGGCATTTGAACTAATGGACAGGATGGTGGAAGATGCTTGCAGTCCTGACTATGTAACCATAGAGATTCTTACTGAGTGGCTTTCAGCTATTGGTGAAATAGAAAAACTGAAACTTTTTGTTGAAGGATATCGGGTTTCCTCTAATCCATCATCACTTCAAACTTCAATATGTAGTAGGCTTGAACTAAGTCAAAATGATTAGCTTTTATTTGTCTGAGCTCCAAATTTTTGTATTTCTTTTGAGCTCATTCTGAAACCATTATAGCTGAATTAAAACTTGCATTCTACATGTAAATTTATAATTTATGCCTGTTTAAATTATTCTCGTCATGATTTTGTTACATTTTCAAGTAGGTTCCTATTTTAATGGAGTACTCCTAGAAACAATTATGCACTTCCCTTATGGTTGGCAGCCTGAGACTATCAATGGTTGTTTATGACTATCTAATGGAGTACTTCTAGATTTGAATTGTATTCTGTTGAGAAAATCTCTCTATGATTAGGTTTGTCAGTTTATTTATCTCTAATAATCAAGATACTATTTGATTATAGATTTGAATGTACTTGACTAGTTATAAATAACAATGATTACAGACTTGAATGTATTGACTTAATAAATTACAAAGGCTGAGAATAATTTTCTCTCAAGTATGGTATCAATAGCTTAGGTTCATTTTATTTTTTCTCTCAGTCTTGTCAGGTATTTTTTTTCGGACCAACACTAAGTGCCGACTCTTTGTTCTTTAAAAAAAAACTAACACCAAGTGCCGACTCTTTGTTCTTTAAAAGATCCAAGTCAAAACGCACTGGAGCGCTGACACATATCTATTAGAATCCTAAACGAATTTGCCAGAAAATGTTTATTGCACTCACCTGTGCGGCCCTTAATGAAGCCTTCTTTAGTCCCATAATTAGAGGTGTCCGGTCTACTTATATTTGCTCTATTTTCGCCATAGTATGTTTCTATGCACTTTAACAGATCCGTTCAGTTGCAAAGATGATATTCGTCCGTCTATACTTATCTCTATGGCAGCTATGCGTAGTCAGCATTTTTTTTAATTATATTTAAAAAATGCTTCTTACACGGTGACTTAACCGAGGAAGTCTATATGGAGCAACCGCCCGAGTTTGGTGCTCATGGGGCGTCATGTGATTTTGTTTGTAGATTTCAACAAGAAGATTGTTATTTCATCTGTTAGAAGATTATTTCCGCTATGAACTCTAATGATCAGTTGGCCTATATTACTCCCATAGTTATGACATTGATTGTAAATTTGAATGTATTGATTTGATTATAAAATAACTAAGATAACTATAAGTTTGAGAGTAATCTCTAAAGCAAGTCAAATCATCTCATTTAATACCATATTAAAATTTGGTTAATCTTAATTCATCTCTAGAAAACCAACTTGTAAGGTAAGGATTGTGCTCTATATAAATACAATTCAAGTCATATCTCTAACAATGTGAGATTAAATTTACTCCTTCAAACTCAACACAATGAAGATGTTGAAGATTGCAACGAAGACAAGTCAAATGCCGTATAAACCGGCAGAAATTCGAACGCTGCCACCGTAGGAATTTATAAATTTATACATATTTATGATAGTCAATTTGTGACAAACTAGTTGCGCTTCTGCGGCTAAGGGAAGTTCCTACCTAATTTTCAAATTGCTATTAAAAATGTAATATATTTTGTTTTTATAACTTGACTATTCAAACTCTATCTTTACCTCTATAATATCCACACAATCTTTCAAACAAATGACAATATTTTATATGTATAACTAGTAGAAGACCCGTGCGTCTGCACGGGTAAGTTCATTCATATCTTAGATGATTCAATAAGACTTTAATGTTATTGATGTATAATTCTTATTATAAACTTACTAACATTTACAAATATGTAGTATATCACCAATAGAGAAAATCCAATACGACTAATAACTGCAAATATTTACAGATATGACTGATAATTACAAATATTTCCTTGAATATTTCTTACATATTACATATTTTTTTAATTTGTTTACTCATGTGCCGGATATCTCCTAGGAGCAAGAATTTGCATTCTTTTATAACAAAGCAAAAACTACAAATAATTTCAATACTAAATTATTCAATTGATTTTATAGGATATTTGTGTCATAGTTTATTGCTATAACTTTAGTTTATCTCTAGCTGACAATGGAGCAAAAGTGGGGTCAATCTTCTGAACATAATCTCAGACGCGCAATTTTCCTAAAATATAATAAAAATGATATTAACAAAATTAAATTATTCAATCAAAAAAGTAATTATTTTTAAAAGATATAATAAATTAGTTCCTATAATTCAATATATAAAAATATTTAAATCAACAATATATTATTTTATTTAAAAACCTATAAGTAAAATAATAAATTATTTTATATTATTATAAATAATATTATAAAAAAAGGAGTTACTATTTTTTTCTTACATTGATAATAATAGAAAGAAACTATTGAAGATGAGATATCTAAAAAATATATTATTATTTAAATTATTCAAATGAATTAGTGTTTGGTAACAAAATTTATTACTTTTCAGTGTCACACCATCAACTACAACTTTAGGCTCTTAAATGACAACAACTTTATCCCTTTTATTAGATTTTTTAAAAAATGAAAGGAGAAGTTAGAGTGGCATATGAGAGAGTTGAGAGACTCATAGATCAAATTTATTAAATCTGCACAAAGTAAACATTAATAAAAATAGTTAATAAGAGACAATAATGATAAACTAATAATAAAATAAAATAAAAATGAAACATTGTTTACACAATTATTCACATTAATTATTATTATTATTATTATTATTATTGTAAATCACTGTACAAATTATTAATGTATTTGAAGAAAGGAATTATAACAACCAAAGACAAAAATTAATGCAACTTTGTCTTGAAAACACTGCTACATTAAGAATAAAAGTCTGCTATAGTGTGAGTGAACTTAATGTTGTCATTGAGATAGTATAATTTAAGGGTTAAAGCTTCATTCTAACCCAGAGAATCACTGGACTCAGCTGGCAAGTACACACATCTGCTCCTCTTCGCTCGAAATAATGTGCCTGTTTGTCAAGTACCTAAAAACAAAACACAGCTGATTATAAGACACGCCACATTGTTACTGGTTTAAAATATTTCTCACTCAAAACACACCACTTTTTAAAATATTTCTCACTCAATTCCTCATCTAATATTTTTTTAATCCAAAATTCACTGCATTGGAACGACTTCACACACTTGGATTTCTCCAAATTATACCAATCTTTGTTAGAAAAATATATCTACACAACCAAGTGCAAATCAATAAAAACATTGATAATACCCTAATATATATTTATCATGTACATTGAGACTTGTTGAACAATGAGACAGCATAATATATACCAATTACTACACAATCAATCAAACATGAGAATAGTTATAAATCAAACCTTGTGAAGAATATTGTTGTGGATTGCCATAAGTTTTTTTGGGCGTTGCAACACCTACACGCATAGGTCTGCTAGAACAATAAACGTCGTTCATTTCAGTCATTGCCCTTGTCCTTTCATTTTCATCACCGAACCTAACAAAACCATATCCTTTCGAGCGACCAGTATTAGAATCAATGACAACTTTTGCTCCCTTAATAGATGAGAATCTGCTAGCTAACACCTCCTGCAGCATAACATCGGTAACATCTATGGCTAAGTCTCCCACAAAAACAGAGAGATCAGAAGTAGCCTCAGAAGAACACCTTTCACCACAACTACCGCCGCCAGTGCTGAATGTAGCCCAATTCAGACGAAATGGTTGATCTCTATTTGGCATCATTGCACCATTAAAGTTCTGCAGAACTTTCTCAGTCGTTCCTTGTGAATAGAACTCGACAAATCCATATCCCTTCGAGGTACCGGTTTGTTTATTATGTATGACCTTGGCCGATACAACCTGCAACAGTAACACAACAAAAGAACTAATCAGAAAACGACAAGCAAAATCATTTCTTCATAAATGCCCATAAGCAGAAACATCGGAGCGTCAATGTCATGAAAGGAAAATGTAATAGTATTAATAAGATCAGTAGCGAATACAATATAACTTACTCGGTGACATGATAGCGGCCAGCTATTACAGAATTTAAAACAACATGGAATCTGCAACTTCCTTTGAATCTGTATAACAGATACAATATCAAAACATGAAAGTTCATTGGTGTTTGTTTGGTGAATTAATCACGTACCTTAAGTTGTTCGTGAAGCCGTTTTTGGAGGTCCATTGCTAGTGATTTTTGATCTGTTAATATCCATTTGGCTACTGACACAATGGAACCTAATGTACATGTAATAAACCTATGGAGGAAGAAGACACAGTGAAACCTATTGTACAGGTAATAAACCTATGGAGGAAGATAAAATTCTACTACAGCTAACCAAACTGTTAAAGTATCAAGCAGGAGAGAACATACAAAGAGAAGGTTTATAGCAACAAGCTAGTAAATCAGTGTGCCAATCTTCCTGTTGATATGAACCTCCACCTCGAGTTGACATCACATCATTTTTGGAAAC